CCCTATGTAGCTTTTTATTAAGCTTTTTATTAAAAGCAACCTTATTTATAGTAACTTGAGTGAGTTTAATAAACATTTTTTTAATTTTTCAATTTTAATTTTTAATGTGGTAAATAATAATCAATATACCTATGTAAATAAAATCCTTCTAGTATGTTCAATAACTCTTACGAATATCAAGAGATCCTGAGACTCAAACCGTGAGAACCACTGATCAGACTTCAGCAACCTCTCTGCTCTGGAATACAGCTTTACATTCTTAAATATGAAGGCATCTGGGCTCGGGAAATAATCATTACCTAGACCCAAGATTTAAAATGAGCCTTGGTGGGGCACCTGGGTGGCTCAGTCAGTTAAGTGTCCGACACATGATTTCAGATCAGGTCATGATCTCACAGTTCATGGGTTCAAGTTCCACATCACACTCCAGAGCATGCTTGGGATTCTGTCTCCCTCTCTCTCTAAAATAAACATTTAAAAAAATTAAAAATTAAAAAAAATAAGACTTGGTGTTTTACTCCAAGAACCAAATTCAAGTCTCATCACAAATGAGAGCTACAATCATTTAATTGCCTATCTTACAGTTACTGGAGAGAATAAAAAAAAAATAGCTTACAAGAAAAACTTATAAAGCTCTATTATAAAAGTACATTATTACATCACCAACTCTAATTTAATCTATAATTCCTTATACTATGAAATAACTGAAACAAGTGTAAGGACTGACAGAATACCTACATATTTTCTAGCCAGATGTAGCCAACATAATTCTTAAACAAATAGTGGAAAGAAGTAAAACAAACAAAGAAACAAACAACAACAACAACAAAAAAACACGGCAAGTGGAGGGAACATAAAAGAAAGAAGCAGTGACAGAAGACGAATGCTGATAGCCCAGCAGTGAAATTCAGAGTAAGAATATAGGGTTATGCTCTAAAATATGCCCCAGGACAAAAAAATAAAAGCTGTTAGAGTCAGGTTAAAGTATGGCCAGACTTCAATTTAAAAGACACAGAAATATGCAATTCTTTCTTAAGAAACTAAAGTATATTTTATCATGTGAACAAATTGTACTTCCTCAGAATTCACTCCCCATAAAACATTCATTCCTTTGTACATGGGTAGAAAAAGCTTTTTTATTCTAAACTATCAGCAGGCAAAACAGCCCATACTCTCCCCCCGACCCCATCCCTTCCCCACAAACATCAGCGTCCTCAAAAGGAAGTCCAGGCACTGTGGTCTCAATTAAGGTAAGCCAGAGAGCTCTGGTGGTAGTGGTGGTGGCGGCAGTACTAGTGGGAGGAGCAGCTGCAACATAATCATAACGCCGATGTTTTGGGGGCTGTCACAGCTTACTGCCAGGAACTAATTAAAGCCTGATGGGTATTTCCAGTAATTTCTCTGGCCTCCACCCATTCCTTATGCATCCATTATTGAAGCTTCCACATTGTTTAGTTCCACATCTTCCCATCTCCACTTACCTAGTACTCAAGCATGCTAATAGTTACTTCTTTTAAGTAAGCTAAATATTCTCATTCCACTCTCACATTTCATCTGCTTAGTAAACTCTCACTAAACAGTATGTTAAATATACTTCATTATAAGCCAATTTCTTCCATTGATTAATGTGGTCAAAACTGGTAAGTCTCCGCAGCAAAGGAAACCATCATTAGAATGAAAAGGCAATCTAGTGAATGGGAGAAAATAATGGCAAGCAATATATCTGACAATAGGTCAATATCCAAAATGTATAAAGAACTCATACAACTCAACAGGAAAAAGACCCAAACAATGCAATTTAAAAATGGGAAAAGGATCTGAATACACATTTGTCAAAGAAGACATACAGATGGTTAACAGGTACATGAAAAGGTATTCAATGTCACTAATCACCAGAGAAATACGAATCAAAACCACAGTAAGATAGCATCTCACACTTAGCAGAATGGCTATTATCAAAAAGACTAGAAATCACAAGTGCTGGGGAGCATGGGTGGCTCAAGTTGGCTGAACATCTAGCTCTTCTTTTAAGTTTATTTATGTATTTTGAGAGGGGTGCAGAGAGAAGGGGAGAGAAAGAATCCCAAGTAGGCTCTACAATGTCAACACAGAACCCAATGAGAAACTTCCATCTCACAAACTGCGAGATCATGACTTGAACTGAAATCAAGAGTCAGTCACTTAACCAACTGAGCCACCTAGGCACCCTGAACATATGACTATTGATTTAGGCTCAGGTCATGATCCCAGGGTCGCGGGATTGTGCCCCACTTCAGGCTCCACTCTGAGCAGAGAGTCTGCTTAAGATTCTCTCCCTCTGCCCCTCCTCCCCTCGCAGTCAAGAAAGAAAGGAAAGGAGAGAAAGAGGGAGGGAGAGCAAACATTGGCACAAAGATGTGGAGAAAAGGGAACCATAGTGCACTGTTGTGAAAATGTAAAGTGACCCAGCCACTATGGAAAGCCGTATGGACGTACCTCAAAAAATTAAAATTAGAACATATGATTATCAGCAATTCCACTTTTGGATATTTATCCAAAGGAAACAAAACACTAATTCAAAAAGATAACTGCAGCGCCATGTTCACTGTAGCATTATTTACAATAGCCAAAACATGGAAACAACCTAAGTGTCTATCAATGGATGAATGAATAAAGAAAATGCGGTGTATATATTTATATATTTGGAGTATTATTTTGCCATAAAAAAGAAGGAAATCCTGCCATTTGTCACAACATGGATGGACCATGAGTGCATTATGCTAAGTGAAATAAGTCAGACAGAGAAAGACATATGCCAGATGATGTCATTTATATGTGACATCTAAAAAACAAAACAAAAACAACCTCATAGATACAGAGAACAGATCTGTTATTGCCAGAGGTAGAGGCTCGGGGGTGGGCAAAATGCGTGAAAGCAGTAAAAAGGTACAAACTTCCAATTAGAAAATAAATAAGATATAGGGATATAATGTAAAGCATAGTGACTATATTTAATAATTCTGTATAGTATATTTGAATGTTGCTAAGAGTAGATCTTACAAGTCTCATCACAAGAAATAAAGTTTTTTAACTGTGTGGTGATGGATGTTAACTAGACAGGCTTGATCACTTCATAATATATACAGTATCATGTTGCATACTTGAAACTAATATGTCAATTATATCGCAATTTTTAAAAATGTTTTTATGTTTATTTATTTTTGGGAGAGAGACAGAGCGTACGCATGAGCAAGCAGGGGAGGGGCAAAGAGAGAGGGAAACACAGAATCTAAACATACTCCAGGCACTGAGCTATCAGCACAGACCCCAATGCGGGGCTTGAACTCATGAAGTGTAAGATCATGACCTGAGCCGAAGTCAGACGCTTAACTGACTGAGCCACCCAGGTGCCCAATTATATCGCCATTTTTAAAAATAAAGAGAGACTGGGATTTAAAAACAACATAACATGTTACTGAATGACTGTTTCTTGGCAGAGGTTTTAAGTATTTTCGTAACTGTTAAGAAAAAACAAAAACAATCTGAGGAGATCTCATAATAGTACACATTGAAGTGACAATCATCTATCTCTTGTGCTCTATCATCTAGCTCTGTGAGACCTTCCCAAATACATCTGGACTCCACTTGAAGAAGATTACATCTCAGTAATCGCTCATTGTTTGGAGGATATAAATAAATGTAAGTTTGTTAGGTATCAACAATTAAAAGCTTGCTAATCTTGAAATGGATTGATTTATGATAAAGTTATTGATAAGAACAAGTATTTTGATATAATCTCTAATCAGGCTACTGATCACTTTCAACCCCTCAAAAACAGTCCAAATTCCTGTACAAACTATTGTACCATTTACAGATCACTCTCCTATCAGTACAAAAATTCTAAATATTTACTACAA